TCTACTCAACACCTACTCAAGTGTCACTTGAGCCGCATCTGGCTCCTCAATTGCACAAAATGCTTTAAATTATGACTTGTCATACTCTCCTTCATAATTAGACCTTAGACATTGGATCTTCAAATCAGTCTAATTTTCAACTTTAGCTTTCTGTCTCTTGAAGATGCCAAACACATGTAATTTATATTACAGGAAATAAACTCATACCTTCCTACTCAAATCATCAATAAACTCAGACACTTAATCTAGATGAAGAACATGAAAAATAAGAAAGAGAAATATCGACTAGAGATTTATATTGATGACTTATGATATGTACAGTTATAGAGAATACATTAGATACAAAAAATATATCTTCGAATCAGTACCTAAGAAAATATGCATAGGAGTTTAGTTTAATATAGATAGTTTTAGTATATATATCCATCTATTATATATAACTATCTATAACTATACGCTATACATAGTCATTTACTATAGGTTACTATTTACTTTAATGGGTCATTTACTAACTATAAATATTGGCCATATAAAACTATTTATTGTGTATAACTGTTAATTCAGTAGCAACTAAACATGAGGCTCCATAACCTAACATCACCTCCATAACCGCGTAAGTTAGATAAGTATGAAAAATGATTCACTCTAGATCTCATATAGGTCGTTCAGTAGATTTGCAATGCTAGAAAAGGTGAGCAACCTCCAAACCTCAATTAACAATTAATTTTAATTTTGTGACAAACAAGAGAATAGTTCGAAACTTCGAAGCTTCCAAGAAGTTGAGATATATAACATAGACCCAAATTTCCCAGAGCCTAGATAAAAGTGTGTAATAACTGACTAGGTCGAAAAATAAGTTGTTTACTCATTATGTTTATACTTACTAAATTCTACTCTTTTTTTTTCAAGTGACAGTTGATTGCTAGTCTGGGCGTTAGTCTATGTGTGATATAATATATGTTACATATAATTTGTGATTAACAAATGACATTTTGTATAATATGGTCATATTCTGAGAGGAAAATGGCACAATTTGGAGAATAAAAATGGTGGCATAACAATGTAACAATTTTATTTAAATTTAATATGTAACTAAACTAATTATGACCCAATAATAATAATAATAAATATGTGGTCAATTTTTTTTTAATGTCTTTTTTTTTTTTCCTCTCTTTTATATTAATCTGCCAAAAAAAACCACAGGATTTTCTGATTACAAATCACATCTCTGCCATTCTTCCTCTGCTTTCTTCTCTTCCAAAGTTATCCAAAAGTGGTATTTCAGAGCTTCTACTTTTTCTGTACAGATCATGAACACTCCATTTTTTTCCCTTTAATTTATATATCACTCTAAATTAAAAGCTCCGCAATACTCCGGTTTCCCAATCACAAACCAAATGAGAGGCACAAAAATCCAACCAGAGAAAAAAAAAAGAAGAAAAAAAAGTACAGAATTATTGTACTAGTTATGGAGAGGATCAGGGCAGCTGGGGACTGTTCGTTTCTTCTCTTGAAACCCTCTCGAACCGAAACTCCTTCCATTGAAATACGTCCGGAGCAGCTTCTCTTTGCTTCCGGCGCCACCGCTAACGCTTTGCTCTGGCTTTTGATTTCCAGGGAACGGTCTGGCGACGGCGGTGGCTTGGTGACGGTGGTGGCAGAAGACGACCCAGATGAAGAAAATCACTAGGAAGAAAGAAGAGAGAAAACGCCGCCGCCGTCGAGGTGGAGTGGCGCCTCCGCCGCTCATTGCCGGGAAAACCACCATGAAGCAGGGGAATGATGAAAATTTTGGGGGGTTTTTGTTGTTGGTTTTGGTAATGGTAATTTATAAATTATGGGTTGTGTTGGAATACAGATTTTGGAAAAAGAAAAGGGGGATTGAATTAGAGAGCTTGATGCAGAGAGAGAGAGAGAGAGAGAGAGAGAGGGGGATGGCGATGGAGACAGGGACAGGGACTGGGAAAGTGAGGGCAGTAGTGGCCCATGTGAACCGAGTAAAATAGCAATACAGGGGACCCTCTCTACGCCTAGGCCTTTTAAATTGTTATCAAATACACCTCCAATTTCGTCTCTTTTATTTTCATTTAACCCACTCTTTTTTATTCTCCCAAATTTCCATCATCATTCATTATTCATTCTTATTCTAACATGCACCATCTCATTAATTAATGCACAACAATGTGATACCCCTAACCTATGGATTTTCGAACATCCTTACATTTCAAGTTGAATCCTCGAACTAATTGAATCAATCGACCCAACTCACCAAATGGTTAACTTTTGTACTTGACCTTAGATTAAGGTTGTTGGGGCATGGTTGGCTATGGACTTGGGCTAGCTAGAACTCAAGAAAGGCCTAGTGAATCAAGTTTGGTTCGTAGGACTCCTTGCGGCCTTTTTCAACGAATTGATATCATATTAAAAATTTAGATGATAAATAATGGATGATATTAACATTTATAAGAATATATATTGCAAACATAAAGGAGAAATGAGAACCAAAATAACAAAGATCCTGAAAATCTTAATATTTTGAAAAGAGGACTTAGTTTGGATTACAAATAAGGTAAAGTTTCAGTTTCAAGGCATCAACCTCTGGTTTTGGATTAATATGCAAATATAACACACCTTCTCTTTCCCTTCACAACCGACAACGTCGTATTACTATTACTATTTTCTCTTACAAACCCCATCCCTAGGAATTACCAATTACTTGCTCTACCTCCCACGCGCCACTCCCACCAACTCTCTTCCCAACGCTTCATTTTCAACTGCGTTTAGGTGCACGCGAGACTAGCACGCGTGGGGATCATGACTCCAAAGCTTTACTAGAGTTTATATAAATATAGTTTAAACACAAAATAAAAAGTAGATCCAAAATATTTAAAACGAAACAAAGAGGCTCAAGTGATTTGTCTATCACTCTTGCTCCAAACTCCCCTCCTATTCTCGACTATCTCTTTACTTACTTGAAAGAACATGAAAAATATGGAGTAAGTATAAAGATTGGGTAAGTAATCTACTTTTAAGCTCTCAAGCATGTCTATGACATAAATTAAGGTATTATCTCTTCTTGAACAATTAGAACGTGGCGTATGATCTTGGCTTGGGTTCATGATACTTAGTAAACTTGGTTGTTATCTCTAATGTGGCCCTATATTACTCCTTATGAAAAATCAAGCTCACATGAACAAAGATAAATGTGATGACATCCTGCTAGTAAAATATGGTGTAGAACATTTCATTGTGAGGGAAAACATGAGCCCTAAACATGACATCCTACTAGAATAGCATGGTGCAAGACATTTCACCTAGAAGAAGAATTATAGGCCTCGTAATGCATCGTGTTACGATCGTACTTTTTCAACCATGTGGTGTTGTGGTCTGCTCACGACTAGCTTTATGGAGAATCCAAGTTCCATATTCATTTTTTGTCCGGCTTTGTGGCTTCGTTAGACCTTAGGCAAGGTTTGTCTTCGTCCACCAAACACAATTTGTGCAGAGTCCAAGCTTGTTCGCCCACGCACGCCGTTGTATATGTATGTTCAATCCTCTGCGATCAAACTGACTTGCCTCTACACTATGCTAAGTCATTCGACTCGACCTTGCCTCTACTAGAAGCCAAGGTCTCTCAATGCAACGTTGTATCCCCAACATCATCTAGTTTCGCAATCAACATGGCTCACATGTCTTGACATTATCCTAAGTCACAGGGCATCGTCAGCCATCACTTCTCACTTGGTCATGTCATCGAAGAATGGACCCATATGTTTCATAATATTGGGACATCACGAACATCCATCCATCTGGGTTCTATCAAGACATTGAACTCTCCCTTGTCCATGTCATGTTGTTTACGGACTCCGTACCGGATAGTGGGCATTTGATCCAAACTCCGACACATGGGCTTAGGTGTAATACCAGTACTATCATTGAAAAACTCTTTTTTTTTAAGAAATGTAGTGTCTAGGAAAAAAATAAGCCAAACGGAAAAAAAGAGTCATTTTTTCAATTTTTAAGAAATTTTTTTAATTCATTATAGATAAGGAGTTTTAAGGTGCTCGAGAAGTAAAAAATGACTAACAAAGGTAAGAAAATTTCAGAAAAGTTTTGGATTTTTGAGAAAAATAATAATAGAAAATGTAAATTTACTAAAATACCAATGAAGTTGGAAATATTTTTAAAAAATGCCTCCAAAATAGGAAGTTTAAGAGGAATCCATGACAACCTGTACAAAATCTCAAATATTTCTCAGCCCAACCGTTGGATCTTCACCAAGTCATGATAAGATATTGAAGGCACACACCTCATCACATCCAAGGGTTGAAATTTAAATTTGAAGACAGCGAGTCCTTCGTCGGAGTAGATATTTTTTACGAACGTTTCAAAAAGTTGGGTGTAAATTAAGCTCGCTTTTGAATAATTCAAGTTCGGTTCAAAGTTCATACAAATAAGAATACAAATAAGAAATCATGGACTAACACTTTAGAATAAGAATCTAGCCTTAAAGATTCCTGAAACTCGAGTTATTAGGCTCCCCCAACAAGTTTCATTAAAAAAACGAGGCCAAAAGTGTCCAGAACCTATTCCCACGTTTTGAGTTTTGACGGTCTATTTTAGTTTTCTCTCTTTAGATTGGACTAAATGAGATTGAACCGGAAGGTTTTGGGGCTAGAGAACTGCCTCATCCGAGTGGGCCATAGCCAACCAAACCTGAGGGACCTTTGATTTGCCGGATGCATCCGTTAAGGCCCAGTCATGGTTAGTCAGGCTAGGCCTCAATAGCCTTAAGACAACTCGACATTTTAAATAAGTGGAAAAAAATTGGGGATTTGAAATATGGAGTCATGTTGAGGATTGTTATGATAGAGTCTCACTAATTTAGGAAATGATATGACCCATGAAAGCTCAAATCAAAGCCATCAGAGCTTATGCTCAAATTGGATAATATCATACTAATGTGAAGATCAACTACAGACACAAACGCGTAATTGTCCAAAGCACTGTTTAATTATAAATCAATATACCCTTCAAATTTGCAGTTTCCAACTACTAGAGACAAACACAACCCAACATCTCAAACCACTTGACAATTGCTTCAAAAAAAAAAAAAAAAATTGAGCCAACCTTTTTATGTGCTTTCTTACATGACTTGTTTATGTATCTTAACCACAACAAGTGATTATGCAACTTCATATATAACATTCAATAACCATCAACCTATCACTTACCCACCATTGAAATCAACTATATCTCATTTGAATTGAATTTAGGCATACCTGGTCATCCCGACCGTCGAGCTAGAACGATTTGCTTTGTGAGAGGCTGGAGACGATGTCGCCTTTGTGAAGTACATGTAATAATACACATTAAGAATCATGGTTGCAACCACAAACACAGCCCCAGCAATGAACACTCCTTTCCTCAATGTTTCACATCCCAAGTTCTGAGCGTATATCATTCCTCGATACTTGGTGTGGTACGCATTTTTGGTTGCACCCGCAATTAGACACGCTTCCGCTACTAAAAAACTCGCCCTATAACATATGAAAAATGGATTAAAGGTGTTAGAAGTTGGAATATATAATGGTCCATTTGAGGTGAAGGCATCATAATAAAGAAATGATGACCATGAGGAGAGGAAGTATATAATGGTCCATGCTCGGTTGCCTCCCGGGGTTAAAGGTCTCCCAAAACACATACACTTAGTGACACACATCAGCAATGATTCACCGGAGAGAAGAAACAAGAAAGCCCCAACACCGTACCCTGTTGCCACATCTGATTCGTACACACAATACGTCGCGTTCCTTTGCTTGTCTTCAAACAGAGTCCCCTGTGAAAGTATACATTTCACAACCAATCGAGAACAGTCCAAGAACAAGTATCAGATCACAAAGAAGCAAGAAATGGAAACAATCCCAACCCAATTACAGGAAGCTGCATCAACATTTTTCAATAATTCAAAGAGTAAAAGAAAAGGGGGGTGGGGAGGGTTGATTTCGTACCACGCTTCTTCTTCTCTCGGCAGCAATGGAGAACCCGAAAGCCACTAAACACAAAACCACCACTAAAAGATGAACCAGAGTCGACCCTTTGCCTTCCATTTCCCACAGATCACGAACCGCACAGAATTGAATTCAGGGAGAGACAGAGAGAGAGGCTCCGAAGAGCTCAACAGTGGGAATGAGGAGAGTGTGGGCGGAAGGGGAGGGAGAAAAAGCAGTAAAAGTTGTCTAGGAAAAGGAGCGCCTTCTTTAGATCTCACGCGGGAAATAGCCACGTCACTTGCACGCGGATTCTGGACCCAATTGGAATAGAGCGTGTCTGTCACGTGGATGGGAATTAGCGCGGCGATTTTGTTGGAGTAAAAGGAGACGGCCGGGTTCAATACTGGTTTTGCTGGCCTACAACAGAGCTCATGGTAAGGTTTGTGGATCGGGTTTTGATTGGCCGTTTTTTTTGTGTGAAACGACGACGTAGAGGGGGAATATAATATTTATTTTATTCCTGCCTTTTGTTTTATTTTTTAATAATTAAAAATGAAGTTTTCGGACATCAGTTTTTGATATGGAAATGTGGAAAGTGAGTCGAAAGTTCTTCAAAATTTCAGATTTGCCACTGGAGTATTTTTGGTGACATATCGAATACGTAGGCCCATGGGCCTCCCTCCCCTTCTGGTTCTGCATTTCATTTTTCTAATTTTTTTTTTTAATTTTTCTAATTTTTTTTAATTTTTCTAATTTTAATATTTTATGTTTCTAATTCTTAAATTTAAATATTTTGTTCATCCCGTCTCTATTTCGTAACCATCAAACAATATTTGGGTCTCTTGAATTATTGAATTTATTTTTGAATTCTTAATTATCCTTTTATAATGTTTTTAAACAAATCATTAAATTGGTCAACAAAAAATTCATTGGAAAAGAACATAAATAGTAGCAAGTTGTCTTCTGAATAAGAAAATTACATAATTGGGTTTTTCAACTCAATGCAATTATGGTAAGTTTATTATTCATTAAATTAATAAAATTCTATCCATTTTATCTTTAAAAAAAAAATAGAATATCCTTCCATTTAAAAATAATCTAAAAAAGAAATTTAAACTTAAAAAATAAAAATAAAAAACATCCTTAAACTTTGGATGGAAAAAATTTACACTTTGTTTCAAATCCCTTCCTCTTTCAAAAGGATTTTAAAAATACAAATGAACTTTAAAAAATGTTTCCAAAAAATTCTTTAAATTTTCTTAAGTTTCATTAATGCCCTTAAAACTTTTTTAAAAACTTCAAAAACACTTTCAAACTTTTATAAAAAATTAAAGAATAACTTTGGCCGAGGTTCCAAAAATGTTCATAAATTTTTGAAAGTAATATTAAAAAGTTGGAAGATAATCTGGGAAGACATCAGCCACAATTTTATAATTTTTTTTATTAATAAAACTAGAGTCTTAATGCTATTTTTAAAATTTCATAGTATTTCTTAAACATAGTACTAATTATAAAAATATTTTTTTTTATAAAAATGGAAAGATATTAATCAATCTTTTTATAATTTAAAGGTATTTTTAAAATATTATTAAAAGGGGAAAGATATTTTAAAAATAAAATCAAAAGGTTCTTTTATGACTAAGTGATACAAAATTTGAGTCTTTTTTCATTAATTTGACATTTATTCTGGAAAAGATAGGTAAAGGGAGAGGAGGGTGATATTGTCATTATGAAAATGTGTCATTTTAATAATTGATAATCATCGACAAAAATATATCAAACCTTTCGTAATGATGTCTTTTTATTTTCTTTAAAAAAAAAAAAAAAAAGGAAACAATTGTGAATTAGCATTATATAAAATGCATAATGACTTTATAAAAGCTGAGGCATCTTAATGATTATGCATAGAATTTGGTCCATTGAAGAGCTAATAGTAATGCTAAAATGTTCAATTTATTAGCTATAACTATTTAATTATTAGCTCGTAATCTAATAGGAAGCTATAATGGTGAGATAGTGTTAATTAAATAGTTCCAAGTGAACCACTAATAGTTAAAAATTTAATTTCGCTTGAGTGTCAAGTGGATCCTGGTCATTAATAGGATAAGCCTCGTCGTAGTGGGAGAATCATGAGATGATTCAATCCTACTAAAATTCAAATTGTCATGTTAGATGACCCATTTGGAGGCTTATTACCCTCAAAATAGTTATAAGGAATGATGACGAAAGATAAATAAGTTAAAGTCATAAAATCTAGAGATTTGTAGGTGTTCTTGATGAGGTTAAGCTCATAGGATATGAATGGATTTACAAAAGGAAAATTATGTATAGATAAGAAGATACAAATCTTCAAAATATGACTCGTGACAAAGAGTTGAACGTAAGGGGAGAAAGTAGCTAGAAGTAGACTTCTCTCATGTTATCATTTAGAGTCTAATATTATTCTCTAATTCATTTTTACAAAAGAAATGTTAAATGAATACCTAAATAGATGACTACCTAACCAATTCTAAATAAATGATTTGGGATAATTCGGAATGTCCTTAAAATAAAGATTCAAGTATAAACGTTAATATTGTCTCATATATATTATACTGACAAAATTGTTGTCAAATATTTGATGCAAGACTTCAAACAATGATAATGATCATTGAAATATGAATGCAGATGAATAGTATCCTAAGTAACCTCAAATGTTGAGAGTATGATTAATTATCTTTCCTGTGTGGGAGACAATTAATGGGTAGATGAGAATTAACGTTAAATATACAATTAGATTATATTAGTTAAACTAATGGTATAACCGTGAAGTGAAAAATTAAAGTTTTCTAGAGTATGGATGGATAATGAAAATTTTTTATTTTGTGTATGAAGTTAAAGATTTAATCTTTAAGCGATACACTAGTTCCATTAATTTAGAGAAATTTATGTTAAATTTTGCCTTAGATTTTGAAGTATGGTATACAAGCGGAATATTTTTTGCTTTTAAAGCAACAAAATGACTTGTATAACTATAATAATTTCTTAAATATTTAAAAGGTGTTTTCAGATGTAATTTAGTCTGTCACTTTTTATTGTGATGATAGGGATAGAAAAACTAATATGAAGGAAATTATAAAAGATCAATCTATAAAGAATGATATTGAGAGAAGGCACCGTGGTAGTGACCAAAATGACTTTTAATAATAATTATTTTGATTTATATAAAATGGCTCTCTAGGCTAAAGTGTTTGAGGAACATCTAAAATGTCTAGGATTACGAGACACATGTTGGGTATAAAGTATGCCCTAAGACACATGTCTCACCAGCTTTAGTGCAAGTGAGAGATTGTTGGGATTTATGCCCAAAAGCCTCGTAATTAATTATTTAGTTTTTAACAATAATTTTTATTATTTTATTTCTAATTTAATTGTTATCCATGGTATGAAAATTCAAGGTTATTAATGTAATCTTAAACAGTACGTGGTTGACATACAAGATGATCGTGTTCAAGTAATAACCTAAATAGTCTATAGTATATGGATAAGGTTGGGTGCCTTATCCTGGTAACACTATTGATACGGCCCACTTTGTAATCGTTACAAATGATTTGATCCAAATCGTTCATGTGGAGACATGTAAGTGGGGGTTCCTATACAATGAGTTTGTATAAGACTGGACCAAGAAATATTTAATATCTTTTTATAAATTTGTTAATTGAGAAGATTAATATTTCATATGATGATCATATGCGACTCGATCCTAATCCTGAGTGAGTTATGAACTCGTGCCTGTGGGGGTTTGTCCTTTAATTTACATGGGTGAGAATGACTCTTTAGCCTATTCAATATGCATACCATTTTGGGGACTTGACCAAATAGGGAGTTGGAAACATAATATCATGAGATAAATTCACTATTTCCATATCAGGAAAGTAGATGAGTTGTTCTCTTAAGTACTAAATTTGGGATTTGAACAATGGGACCTCACCCTCTCATTCCCCCAAGAGGGACTTGGTGTATGATTGAATCATAAACAAATTGTTCATTAGAGAATCAGTGGTACTTAAAGTGAAAGATGTAATTATAGGGGTAAAACGGACTTTTGACCCAGCTATAATTGTGAACAACTTGTGAATGATCGACTTGCTTGTAATGATTATATCAATGGACATAACTTGTCCTACGGTGCATAAGAGTGCAACTCTAGGTCTATAGTGGAGTGACCTATAGTTAATGAATGGAAATTAATTAATTAAAGAGCTTAATTAATTAATTAATTTTGTATAATTGGAGCTTGCTCCAATCGGTAGGTTCATAATGTTCCCTTGCTAGCTCATAGTAACGTTAAAAAGTTCAATTTATTTGAAAGAAAATTTGAAGTGTTCACATTGATATTTAATATATTATATATTTTTAAATAACTAGAAAAAATATATTTAATTCGAAAGTTCGAATTAATATTTAATACATTATATATATTAAAGGAAAAGTATATTGATTGTATTTGATACCATTAAATATTAAATTATTTAATGTATTTTGATATATTAAATAAAATTATATTTCAAATTTGAATAAGATTCAAATTAGTTAAATATATATTAGGATATCTTATAATATCTAATAATATATTAAATACGTTAAATATGCAAATATATTATTTGACAAATATTCTCTAAGAGTTCCTATAAATAGGACCCTCCCATTGAGCTAAAGACACAACTCTCTCCCACTTTTTTTTTGGAGAATAAAATTAATCTGTAGAGAATTCTCCAAACTCTTTCTTGTTCTCCAATCCCTTTCGGATTTTCTTTCAAGAGGCTCTCACAAGCTTTGGCCTTGTCTTTGAGTCATAGCAAAGAAGATCATGTGGAATGTGGAAGAATGTTGGATTTTCTTTCAAGAGGCTCTCACAAGCCTTGGCCTTGTCTTTGAGTCATAGCAAAGAAGATCATGTGGAATGTGGAAGAATGTTGGCATGTTGGATTACTTTAAGAAGTCTTGCAAGTTAGGGTTTCTATGAATTCTTATAAAAATCAAAACGGTTCCCAATGCTTCCGCTATGTAGATGAAGAGTTCATTCCCTTCAATTGGTATATGTGCCTATTGATTTTTATTTTGAATTAAAAGATGTATGGTGGGTATTGTATTTCATATCATATATATGTTATGTGTAATATTGATTTGCGAAATTGACTGTTTTTTTTTGCATATCTTGGCATTAGATT